TTGTCTTCGAGCGCAGTTTACTCAAGATTAAACACGGTCAAAGACGATCAGCCGTAGCAGACACCGGCAAGGGTTCATAGTGCAGCTACAGGTCTCATTTCGAGCACCACATTGATTGTAAGTCGAGGTATGTTATACGATACCGTCCACTCTATCGCACCGCCGCGCCCTCCGCTTCTCCGTCCCTTCTACCTCATTCCACCATCCCCTAATTGCGTCCGACTGCACTCAGAGGTCACACAAGGGGAGAGAGTATGCCCAAAGGTGGAGACAAAGCATAGAAAGTTGGCGAGTAGGGTAGAGCATTGTCGTCGCGAATCCAGTGAGGCTTCAATGGATCCTCGCGCTCGCAGAAACAGGGCCTGAGGTCACAGGGATGCTAGTGCCTGGAGGGCGTTGCTGAGTAGAGCATGTAGTCTCAGTGCAAAGTGCGCGCAAGGGCGAGAGCATGCTGTGGCGCACAAAGTCGATCAAGCCAACGCGCGCGTCGACTTGCGACCGTTCCGCCACTGACCGTGCCGTCCTCAGGCTCTCTCGCGCACGACAAACTCCAGTCCTGACTCGATGCGCACGATAACTCTGTCGCGGGTACGTCGCAGCGGCAGGCTGCATTACAAAGTAGTATATCTCGAAGACAACTCACAGGATCCTTCTGAACGACGGCCCCGAATGTATTCATTTCCGATCCCGCCTACATTCTACAGCTCCGCCATCGCTGTGAATCCCGCGTGCCTCTGTCTAACCGTGCCAGCGTCAGTCGATTGTCGTTGCCATTGCAGAGCAGATGTAAGCCCAATTGCACGAATGGCACACTCACTACGCAGAGAGTGGCTGCAACTTACCAACATCCAAGACATATTAGTTTACTTTTTGTTGCCTCTGAAAAGTAGACTGAGAGCCGGCATAAGACTTAGTCACGCCACGCAGAGTATCAAACCCGTCCGAGAAGCAAGCAGGCTTAAGACTTAGAGTGCAATCCAATGGCAGCAGTGACTTAGATTCTCACTTAGTGTTGAACGTAGAACTGTGCGGCACACCGTGCTTGTCTGCCGCTACGCAGGCCTTCGCGATGTCAGCCATGAATACAATGAAAAGAATATAACAGAAAAAAGGGAAATAATTCACAAAATTCCTAGATCTGCTGATTGATCTGAGCCCTGATTACAAAGAAGCATCAGCCTCTCTGCAGTCAGGGCCCAGCTCGGACAGCAGATCTCTTGCCTTGAAGGCGGGTCTGCTGTGTGTAATGGGAGAATATATTACCTGTAAATATCAAAGTGCATAGCTTCCCATAGAAAGAGGAATACCGTACGCATAGATCACTTGCGGTTGAAAAATCCTGAAAATTTAAAATAATCATTTCGAGATCTAAGAGTGACTTACGTAAATACCATCAAGAAGGTGCCGCGCGCCGGTTTGGCTAAGCGGATGTCGGCAGAGTGGAAGCGCCGCTGAGAGTAATGGAATCAATGTCGTGTGAATGGTTTCACACTTTGCCGACCCTCCGCCTTCGAAGCAAGCATGCCTCATATACTATCACCGTTCAACCGCGAATGTCCTTCCCCGCCGTCATTATGCCCCGACACTCTTTGACCCCCTTCACTGGGGTCGACACTCCCCATTTCCTTTTCATGAGATGTTGGCTATTCAGTGCTACTGCATGCATCTCACTTGGGTAGATTTCTCACTCATATACATGGCTACTTGCGTGGTGTCGCCACTGGAACGAAGGCTTCGTCGCCCGCGCGCGATCCTGGCCAAACACGACGCAGAGGAGCGTCGACAGGCGCAAGCGAGATCGAGGCGAGCAGCAGAGATCGATCGGAGACGGCGGCTGTGCTGCCTGCCAAATCAAGCAAACGAGAGGTGAGCCTTCGACGTGTCGTCTTTCGCGCTTGACGCTCATTCCGCGTTCCTTCAGCCGACGACTGCTCGCGCGTCCTAGTCCGCTGCTCACGCTTGCTACGGCTCTGAAGTCATGTTAATTAGTTTTTCGGCGAGGTATGTGTCCGTTCTGCGTGCTTTCCGCCGCTGCTTGATATTTAATACACGTTAGATGGCGAAGAGCGGTTCCAGCGGTTCAAGGCGATGGATAACTGTTAGTGGACAAGTTAGCGCAGCGCAATTTAGCTGCCTCGAAGATTAATACCTCGGGAGAGCATGGAGTCGCCACAAGGTCGTCATTCGCGGGTGCAGTGGGGAGATTTGAGCGGGTTATGTGAGGACAGGGTGGAGTCGGAGATGAGAGTCGGTTGCGGAGGAAATGTGAGTATATCTACATTCGTGCTCAAATTTCCGTTCGATTTCCACTGATTTTGGCTTCGCAAGTCTTGCATTCTCCCGGTCTGTGCTTTGACCACCTTCCCCTCGACTAGCGAAGCTAGTCGCAAAGTCCGGCGGTAATCCTCGACACACAGCCCCCCCCGGGACAACTGTAAATGATGCTGTTATGGCTTTTCCGCTCGCCTCCTCTCCACAGCGTCTCCAACGTTTGCTCGCCTTCCCAGCTCTCGATGTTGGATACGACACGTTTTCTGACTTGAATATACCAATTGGGATTATGAGGAGTCGAGCACACGGGTTATTTTGGATGGGTACTGCTATGGTACGTTGTCTCCTTTGCGTTAGATCTCGTAGCCGGCGCTCACGGTATTTCCAGTTATATAGCTGCCTTTGTATGCCATAATATCAATATATTCTGTTTTCGCGTCTGGATTTCCATCCAACTGACGTGACGCAAGTCGACTTGTGCGAGAATCGACGGAGCATCGACGCCTGGAGCGCTTGGAGCTAGTGTTGCGAGCGTGAGGCACGCCGAAGCGATGCTTGGGACTTTTGCATAAGACTGACCAAAAGCAGCTGTTTCCCAGATCGATCCACAGCATTTCGAGCCCAAGGTCGTGCTGCTGGTCTTCGTCTCACAGAAGGTCATTCGTACAGCCCTTCAGGTTGGCCTCTTCTCGTTACAGTTGCTCCTGCGTCTCGTTACTCCAGACAACACTTACCTTTGCTATCTGAGGTTCTGTTGTATTTGTAACTATCAATCGCTATTTCCACGGTCTCCTGCAGGTTCGAGAGGAGATCTACATGGCGTTCAAGATACTATATATTGCCTGCATTGACGATTTTGGCAGAGATGACGAGCCGGTAAGCATCCAATGTATATGCTGCTCTTTCAGAGATAGGAACTAACTGCGGGACGTTCCTTTGTCACAGCCCAACTTGAACGCTCGCGCTGCATCTTCAGTCTCCTCGCCCTTTTCCCCGCCACTGGCTCTCATCCAGCGCTTCGGCAACCTTCGACACAGCACGTGGGCTTCAAATCCGGACGGAAGGGCCGCGTCGCGTCTGTAATTTTCGCATCGATCGGTGGGTCTGAGCACAACATAATGCTGTCGTTCATCCACTGATCTCCATTCTGCCATAGATTATGGCTTCCCAACCATCGACGGCGATGAGCTGCAGCACCCACGATCCGACGCGGACTGTGCCCTTACGTTTCCGGCGACGGTATCCCCGCACCAAAAGCACTCGCCGACTTCCCACCGCTTCATTGCGAGCGTTCGATGGGTCGAAGCTCTGAAAACATGCTCCTAGATGGATGGCACCGCACGCAGCGCGGCCCTCTGTTCTGTCGAGGGGGGCAGCGTACGTGAACTTTGCGGCACGTTCTTCCCGTCACAAAGGCTACTCGATGTCGGCATTTCAAGCCCTGACGGCCTTCTCTCCGCTGTCTCGTACTGTCTGGCTCTCTTCAATTCTCGGTTGTTGCTGCCGCCGGTCCTATTCTCCCTGTCTCCTGGTTCGATCTACTGCGCCATCACCCACGATTAAAGCTCCCAGTCAGTTGTCTGAGCACGCACGTCCCATGACGCGCGGCGTTTGGACGCGAGTATCATGAACGGCAGACATGGCATCCTCGCTACCATTACCTCTGTAAGTTCCCTTTATTGTTATCACACTGTCATATGGTGACGTCCCACAGTCTTTGTCGCCTCTCGCCGGCACTGAGGACCGACATCACGATGTAGGTATGGATCGACGCCCGACGAAAGACCTCCCGCTGCCTCTCTACCCCCTCTCGGTGTTTGTCCGTGGTCAGACAAGTAGCCACGGATCGATGTCCGGGGAGCGCCTCCTGTCCGCACCTCAGCCGACGAAAGTCAGGTGCCAGTCTCGGGCAGTTGGCGCGTATGACCTTTACGACTGCGCGGATGTCCTCGGCCCAATCTGCGGCGAGTCGCGATGTGCTCCTCGCACGTTACATGGCCCTACGTCAATGTACGGACACATCACCGCCCAGCGGCCGATGCGGGGGTAGATGGGCTTGCACGAGCGCTAGTCATCTCGCGCCGTTCGTGTCCTGAAGGTACGTGTCCGTCTGTTGAAGTCTCCTACATCATTATCTGACTCTTGCTTATCAATTCCTAGGTCCCATCACGTTGTACCGACGTCTCCGCGACGGCCTCTTCATCGCAAGCGCCGGTCTCTCGCGGGGTCCTGGACAGCAATATAGGTACGAATCGAAGCCCCGCGAGCCGTACCCACAGGCCTATCCTTTCAACTTCAAGTTACCACTCCGTGGATGTCTATGGCCCGGTCAGCGGCAACGTGCGCGCCGGACGTTGGATGAATGGATTGGATGAATCGCTCCGAGGATGAATGGGCTCGCAGAAGTGCCAGCCGTCTTCCGCCACATATATCCCGAATGTACGTATCTCTCAGTTCCATCATTGTACCGATCTAACTGTCCCTTAACAGTTCCTAGGCCGTGCGGCGATGATGAGATGTACGGCCTTCGGAGACGAGTCCCAAAGTTGTTGGGCTCGTAGGGACTCGGTCAGGTGCTAACGCGAAGGTGTGTGCGCTTCACTTCCGTCTCTACGCCTTGCTAACGCCGTGTGGCTGTACAGAGTCGAGCGCTGCAAGTCAGTCATGCTACGCCACGAGTACACGGATGCGCTCTTGTCTGCGGGGATCTGTGATGACAATGTAGGTATCGATCGAAGCCCCGCGAGTGAGACCCCTGGGCTTATCGCTGCGGACGTCTCTCCCAAGTCTACGGCAATGTGGGGACAAATCGCTGTCCCGCGGGCAACCCGATCCACCCTCGTTGACGTCCTCAATGGCACAGCACTCGGTGCTCATCATCAACGCACCGAGGAAAATCTGTGGCTTGGCTCTCCCATGGACCTACGACAATGTAGGGACGAATCTTCGTCCCGTGAGCGAGGTGATCCTTGCTTGTCGATGTCTGGGGGCGTGAATTACACGCTGCCCGCCTTGTGAAGCGTCTGCACACCTTGGCGAACGTCTCCGGATCATCTCCGACTATTGGGAGGTACAACAATGCAGGGACGATTCTTCGTCCCGCGAGCGACCCCAGCCTACCTCGGCGATACCTCCCAGACCGTCCCTCAGCCCGGACCTTTCGACACGCCGGTAGACAATGTAGGGACGTTTGCTCGTCCAGCCAGCAAGGTCTGAGCCTGCGAAGGGCGCAGGGCTGAGTGGGCCGGAACTTCAGGACACCTCAATGGATATTTATGGCTAGGGGTTCTTACGACAGAGTACGGACGATTCGTCCCAATCCTCGCGCCGTCCCGTTCATGTCGGACCTTTGGAGCAGCAGTCGGGGCAAGCGAGATGAAGTAGGTATGGATCGAAATCCGGCGAGCGCGGTGGTGACTTGATGTGCAGGTACGTCTTCGTCGATATCACACAAAAATCTATTGCTAAAACCACGGCATCCTACAACAGCTCGTAATCGTATACCAACCCTACCTATCCCGTCCAAAGACCGCTCCTTGAAATTCGCGAGCCTGGTCTCGTCACCTCCGCGAGGACCCGGAGCCCGCGCAATGCAAATCCAGCGGGCTTTGAGGCCTCGAAAGATGCCTGCCACGATTGTGAAGCGGCGGCGATTCTGGGCGGACGGAGGCGTTAGCGCTCGTCCGCAGACTTGAGGCGGGGAGCGGATGTCCTAGTGCGACTTGTAGTCTCGTCGTATCCCTTGCAGTTGCTCGTAGCGCACTTGTAGGCCCTGATACGTCTCCCTTGTAGTCGCTCCAAGTACACTTGTAGCCCCGAATACAACTCTTTCTCCTCTATACCTCGTTGTACAGGCAATAGTCAAGGAGACTACCCCGTTCTTCAGGGCCGGGTCAAGGAGACTCGTAGTCCCTAATACAGCTCTTCCCCCTCTCTTCAGGGCCGGGTCAAGGAGACTCGTAGTCCCTGATACAGCTCTTCCCCCTCTCTTCAGGGCCGGGTCAAGGAGACTTATGGCTTTTTTCTTATTTGTACACCTCGCTTAGCTCCGCCTATCATTCACCAAACAAAAATTATCGGGTCGACGCACCTCCCACCTCGCCTTTCCCCCTCTCCTGCGTCTGCTCCACCACGTCCGGGTCGTTGCTCACGCCGTCGCTCTCTGCTGCGTGCACGCTGTCACTGTTCGCTGCTCCTTCCTCTCACTCTCGCCGTCGCTGTCTGCTGCTCGTCGCCGTTTCATGCCACGTATGCTCGTCCCGCCCTCCTTGACATCGAACTGGACGAGCAAGTCCTCCACGAA